TAGAACACCTGTAGATGTTAATTTGTATCTTTCTAAGAATGTACAGGAAAGTATTTCTCAATTAGAGTATGCCCAAATTATTGAAAGTTCACATTGTCAACGAGTATGCTTGGCCCCGAGATCACTCTCAAGCTTTGGAATGTTTGTCTTAGATTATCTCTAATGGTGTTTGCTAAAATAGCATTGTCATTGTTATAATTTGGTAATGACTAATGTTATTTTGCCAAATTATAACAATGGTGTTTCAATGGTTACATATTATTTTACCAAATCTCAACTAACTTTCCCTTTAAATTTATAGGTATTATTTAGATATAGATTTTTTAGTATTTTTTTTTTGTTTGTTTATTTTTTGTCTTTAGTGACGTTTTTTCAACTATTTGTAAAAAAAAAAAAAAATTATATATTTAATTATACCCAACTAGACAAATATAAAAAATTAAAAAAAATTAAAAATTTTCCAAAAAAATTTAAATATAATTCACTCGTAAATTTAAATATAAAATACTCAAAATTACATTGAAAAATAAATGACATTTCAAAATTAAAAAATGCATTCTCTCGTAATTATTTATCAGGAGACAGGGGAAAATAGTAATTTGGGTTGCTGGCATGTGCCAACCACTTGGCGAAAATCTCATTTTTGCGTATTATGTAATATGCTTTCGTCTGAGGGTCCAAATGAGAAATGTCTGTAGTCATTATCAAACGTTCTTCCTTTTTGATCTCAAGTTCTCTTATCTTCTACAAATGTTTTTTCTTTTTGATTTCTAATTCTTTCATCTCCTGCAATGCTTGAATCCTTTTTTCTTCTCTTTCAGCTTTTTCCATTTCCTTCTCAATAAGGTATTGGTTAAATGTTTCCAACAAATTGTTATATTTGTGGACTTCAACTTGAACAGTTTCACTTTTTTGAAACAATTCGTTTGCAGATTTCTTACCCATAAGCCTTTTACCCCTTATAGAGACACTACCCCCACCGATTGGATTATTACCAACAGTTAGATTGTTACCAACACTTGGACTGTTGTCGTCTTCAAGAGAAATGTAATTATCCATAAGGGATTCAGGGGTTGAATTAGAGGAAAACAGTGTGACACTCTAAATATTTAATTAAATACCGCGTAAAATTATATATATACATAAGTAGAGTAAATAAAATATTAGATGTTGTGGTTGAGTGTAATTTAATTAGAGATTAGTTTGTTTCTTTTTATCAAACGAGTGATATATAATTATTTTAAAGAACTGGGCCAGAGTATAATTAATGCAAAATTTAATAAGATAAGTATCAATCTAAGGAAGATTTTTGATAAAAAATCTAAGGAAAATTTAGCTATGGACACGTGTTGGTTCTGGAGGACTCTTGTGGTTTGATGGCACGGGTTGCCTCCCTATAAATAGGAAGAATTTGCTTAAGATCAGTGCAACAACAACAACAACAAAAAAAAAGATATACTAGAGATAGTAAACTAATAAGTAAGAAGGCTGTGACAGTGGAAAGTAATAGTAAAGGGTTAATATTATGGTGAGTTATATTATACCTTGAGTTACCATAATATATTTTACGTATGTTTTGAGTTAACATAATTTATTTTACACAATGTGCTTTATAAATTATATTAATATTTCAATTACGTTGATTATTTTCTGAACTCTATTTGCTTAAATTGAAACTCATGGATATATTTGTTTAAATTTTAGAAATTATTTGACAATGTTTTTATAAACAATTATTTTCTGTAAGTACCACCACAGGAGTCCCATGCCTTGGGGAACTTAATTAAACAATTATTTTGTGTCCGCTATACTCTTGGCATAATATTTCTCGCTCTGCTATTTGCTTATAGCTGTTACCCCTTTCGGGTAATGAGATGTAAAGAAGAACTGTAACCTTGTATAATGGGACCTGCACGGAATTTGATGTCGACCTGTTACGCTTTGTTTTTTTTCTTTTTTTTTCCCTAAAATTTTGTCACCGCATAATAAAATAATAAAAGTCCTATTGATGTATTTTCGATTATTAACGAATTAATTTTCTATTTAATTATTTTCTTACTTTTATTCTGCTTCTGCTTGCGCTACTTAATTTTTTCAATTAGAATTAATAAGTTGTGATTCTAGCCCTAAGCATCTAAGGGTTAGATCATGACAAAGGTGGTATCAGAGCAATGGTTTTAACCTTTCTTGTAGAATCTTACGTTTGTAACATGACTGTGATGTAGAGACTAGGGGTGCAACTCGGACGGGTTCGGTCGGGTTGGGCGTTTGCCCAAGCCCAGCCCGAATTGTATTTGGCAGTGCCTAAGCCCGACCATCAACCTGAGCATTGCTGCCCAAGGCCGGACCAAGCTTTATATTTTGAACTCGAGTTAGCCTGAATTGCCCGAATTGTCCGAAATTCACAAGTCCAGCAATCTTAAACAACCTGAGCACTGTTTAGCTAATAGCTATACTAAAGATCAACAATAATCTTTTACAATAAACAGTTTAAGTTTAAAAATAAAATAAAATAAAATAACATTGAAATACCATAAATTATATAAAATGACTTTAATCCAAACTTTAAACATAAACAATTGACCAAACATTAATAGACTACTATGCTATTAAACCCTTGACTGAGCTTTGTCATCCATTGGTGATGGCCAGACAATTGTATAATTTTCCATATAATGAGTCCCACTTTTCTCAATAGACTTCAAATCTGGTGCATAAATCAAACAACAACCACAAACACTAGTACATATAAAACTTCCACACAACAAACTTCAACATCATCAAACTTCAATACAAACTTCAAAATCATCCTAGATGCCAAACATAAACTGAAAACAACAGTGGTTCATTATTCCATACATCAAATAGTGCTTCATTATTCCATACATAAACTAAAAACAACAAAATAAAAAGAAGTGATCTAAGTAGCAGTCTAGTAGAAACTTCAGTCCAACAGAAATTTCATATTTTGATCTTCACATCTTCATCTCAATGCAATCATGCCCTAAAAAAAAAAAGAGAACATAATTAAACTTCCACACAACAAACTTCAACATCATCAAACTTCAATACAAACTTCAAAATCATCCTAGATGCCAAACATAAACTGAAAACAACAGTGGTTCATTATTCCATACATCAAATAGTGCTTCATTATTCCATACATAAACTAAAAACAACAAAATAAAAAGAAGTGATCCAAGTAGCAGTCTAGCAGAAACTTCAGTCCAACAGAAATTTCATATTTTGATCTTTACATCTTCATCTCAATGCAACCATGCCCTAAAAAAAAAAAAAGAACATAATTACAAATAACTCCAATAAAATAATACAAGTCAAATGAAATATTAAATTATTCTTACCTCGTGGTAAAATTTCTTTCAAACATTACTTGAACTCGTTATAGAAAGAGTACCAATTTCATCCGTTATAGCTGCGAAAATTAAAATACTTGAGATAATATAATAAGATTTGTAAATTAAAAACAAAGCACAAGTGTAAAGACTAACTTACTTGACTCTAGTTTCTCAAGATTCTCTAATTTTTCTTCAACATCAATTGGACTTGATGAACTCCTTAACCAATCTTGTCCACAAATCAAAGCCTCCACAATTTTAGGAGTTAAAGAACTGTGAAATTGATCAAGTACTCGACCCCCGGTGCTAAATGCCGATTCTGAAGCAACAGTTGATATAAGAATGGATAAAATATCACGTGCTATAAGACAAAGCACACAATATGTAGAAGCTTTCCTTTTCCACCAAGCTAAAATGTCAAAGGGTTCGGATTCCTCTTTAACCCCATCTTCCAAATAACGATCAAACTCGGATTTAATGACCACAGTTTCTTCAGCTTTCAAGAATTGATGCCAATCTTGTTTATGCATATCAACCCCAACACTTGAAACCCCAAGATCATCCATTCTAACATCATTTCCACCTTTGGGGACACCCACATTTTCCATAGATTCTAACACAGAGGTGGAGTAATGCTCATAAAATTGCTTCATGATAAGCTTCACTTTTTCAATCATAGCATCAACATCACTAATGGAATAATATCTTGTGAAAGAAAACTTAACATACTTCAACTTGTATCGTGGATCTAAAACCATAGCAACAATCAACAAAAGATTAATCTTCTCAATGTTACAATACTTCTCAAACTTCAATTTCATTTTCATGGCCATGCTAGAAAAGAACTTGTTCTCATGATTTGCCCAACTCAATAGGAGAGCTTGAATCCTATTGGTCTCAAGAAAGAAATAATTAGAAGTCACATAGTTGGAATCGGAGACACGCTTTGTTATCACATAAAAGTTCTCAAGGAACTTGTGAAGACTTTTAACTGTCATCCAATCCTCCTCCGTCATAACATTCTTAACCTCGATTTTGAAACACACATCCTTCTCTTCCAATCTCTCAAATACTAATTGATATTCAATTGCATTGTTTAACATGATATAAGTTGAATTCCATCATGTTTGTATATCTAAACACAAAGCCCTCTTACCCAAAACTCTTTCCTCCTTGGCACATTTTTTGAAAGCAATCGAGATGGGGAACTCCTCACATATTTCACATAATCTCTAAGAGCCAATATTGAACTCTTAGCCTCCTCAATTTCATCCCTCACAATCAGATTTAGGATATGAGCAAAACACCTCACGTGAAAAAAATCACCATTTAATAACAACCCATCCCTCTTAACAAGCTTCATTTTTAAACTTAAAGCTGCTACATCGTTGGAGCTTGCGTTATCTACCATAAGTGTGCCTAATTTTTCCAATTGCCACTCTAGTAAGCATGTTTCCACAGCTTGTGTAATTACCTCACCACGATGTGGACTTAGAAGAACACGAAAATTGATAATTTTTTTTTGTAACTTCAAATCATTATCAACGTAATGTGTTGTGAGACACATGTACCGAAGGTTTTGAATGGAAGTCCACAAATCTATGGTGAGACAAACTCGTGAAGTTGAACTCTGAAAGATTGCTTTCAAAAGTTTCCTTTCAAAATTATAAATTTCTATGCAATCTTTGGTGATTGTGGTTCTTGAGACAATGTGAAATTTTGGTTGCAAGGCATTCACAAACCTTTTAAAACCCTCTTTCTCCACAAAACTAAAAGGTAGTTCATCAATGATAATCATACAAGCAAGTTCCCTACGACAATGTTCTTGATCAAATTTCCAATTCACAATTTGAGATTGACTATCAACTGTTGAGGAGAAAGACAAATGTTGTTGGGTTGGGTCTTTATTACCGTCATAATAAGAGCATTGCTTAAGGTGTCTCCAAACTGTGCTAGTACCTAAAACACTTGGAGAAGCAAATTCACGTCCACAATAGTTGCAATTTGCTCATTCTGCTTTACTCTCATTAGTTTGTTTAATCTTTGTAAAATGATCCCACACTAGAGACTTAGATTTATATGGTTTATTGCGCTTACCTTCCTTTGGTTTTGCACCACCCCCAACTGGATTTTTCTCTTTGTTATTTTCTTCATGGAAAATGTCTCGTAGCTCAAATTTTGTGGCTCAAAAGTGGCTCAAATGGCCAAAACGACGTCGTTTTGGCCATTTTTATGTTGTTCTGTTCTCAAAACGACGTCGTTTTGGCCATTTGAGCCACTTTTGAGCCATAAAATTTGAGCTACGTAGCATTGTGGTTTCTTCATTAGTTTCCCTCATCATATCTGACATAAAATCTTGCAAGAGCTTCCTTTACACTGAAGAAAGAAATATAATGATATTTACAAACAAATAAATAAATATGACACACTTTATCTAATCATATGTATAACATAACCAAAGAAACACAAGAACAAATTGTTGAAAAATTGGTTTATATAAGGCATATTTTGGGCCGACTTTGAGCCCAAAATTGAGTAGACCCCAAACGTCTTTTGGGGTGGGTCTGAAAAGGTGAAGTGTTTCTTGCCGCGTGGCAAGTCACACGGGGAAGACGGAATGTCAAAACCATTTATGAGTGAATGGAAAGTTGACGTCATTTTCGGGTCTAACATTAATTTTTTAGATAAAATTCATTTGAATTTTTTCAATAAAAATTATTGTGAGAATTTAATTTAATTCTAAATTCAAATTTTGGATTCTTAAGTGGTTTCCTAAAGTTTGTAATTGTGGGAATTTAATTTAATTCTAAATTCAAATTTTGGATTCCTAAGTGGTTTCCTAAAATTTGTACATCTTTCTTTATTTATTAAACCATTCAATTTGTTTATATATATATTCAAATAGTTTAATATATATATATATATATTCAAAATAGTTTATATAATAAAGTTCAACAGGTTATTTGTGTTCCACAAACCAACGGCTACTTTTCAAAAGTGTTTTGAAGGAATTTTGTTCCATGTGTAACGGTCAGTAAAACAGTTTGAATTCAAATTCTGAATCTGTCCATGTTTTGCAACTGTTCACTTCGGAAATACACCTGTTCGGGTCAGGTTTTCTTGCCTATATATACCTGCTATTCCAACAGTGTTTACATCTGAAAAACAGTTTGAAATTTTGTCTCATTGCTGTCCTAAATTTTCTACTTTTGCATTATTCTTCATTTTAGTTTTAGAATAAATTAAAGAGAGTATTAGAACACAAGATTTGGTTCACCGTACAAATTTGTTTGGTGTGTTACAACAAGTTTGTGAAGATCATTGTATCTTGGGAGATAGACGCCACACAACCGTAAGCACCGTAGCGGGGCGAATCTGTCTTAAGGACAGAGTGTCACACACTCAACTTGGCCTTTTGATTTTATTTGGTTCGACAAAATAAATTCTGTAAGTTTTATTTTATTTTGTTCGAAGTTGTTTCGATTTATTTTATTTACACAGAAGATTGTTCCAACAATCTTAAGAAAGATTCGAATTATTCTGTTTACAAAATTTTTCATTTGTTTCCTTTTTCCATTATTCATTTATAGAAAATTATTTTCTATGGATTTACAAAATAATATTCTGGTTGGAAAAACAAATAGTGATTATATGCTATTTGACGGATAGTAGTAATATACTGTCTATTTTATTTGACAACTAGTAGTACGATACTGGTGTCATTAACAATTCAGAATATATTTTTGTGAAATTTTGTCAGAAATTGTTTAAATTTTCTGTGTAGTATAAAATTCTAATTATAATTTTATTTTATAATTTAGAATTTATGGCTACTAAAACTGGTCAAACTAATGTTCAAACCAGTACTGATATGGTGATTGCCATTACGCCAACCTCTCCTTATGTTGGGACTGTGCCAGTGAATCATGGTAAACAGCTAGAGAAGTTCTTAAGAACTGATTTTTGCAAAGGCAAAGGAAGAACAAGTAACAAGGTTACTAAAGCCGATATAACCGAAATGGATACAATTTCCAATGGTGTAGATGTCATAAATCTTTCTACAGTTGTTTCCGAGGCAAATCTTGTCGGAAATCCTAAAGAATGGTGGGTGGACACTGGTACTACTCGCCATATCTGTGCCAACAAAAAGATGTTCACATCTTATTCTACAGTGGACAATAGTGAACAACTTTTTATGGGCAACGCCTCGACTTCTAAAGTTGAAGGACAATGAAAGATTATTCTGAAAATGACATCTGGAAAGGAACTCACTCTCAACAATGCATTGCATGTACCGGACATTCACAAGAATCTTGTTTCCGGATCTTTGTTGAGTAAGAATGGGTTTAGGCTAGTTTTTGAAAGTAACAAGTTTGTACTTACCAAAAACGGGATGTATGTAGGAAAATGTTACATGTCTGATGGCCTTTTCAAATTAAATGTAATGACCGTTGTACCCTCAGTTATTAATAATAATACATCTTCTTCTTACTTGCTTGAGTCTTCAAATTTATGGCATGGTAGACTAGGACATGTTAATTATGGATCTTTGCGTAGATTAATTAATATGGAATGTTTACCTAAATTTGACATTGATTCAAATCATAAATGTGAAATTTGTGTTGAGGCAAAATTATCTAAAACTCTTTTTCATTCAATTGAAAGAAGCCCGGAGCCACTTGAAATAATTCATAGTAGCATTTGTGATTTTAAATCAATTCAAACTAGAGGTGGGAAAAAATATTTTATCACATTTATAGATAACTATACTAGATATAGTTATGTTTATTTAATTCAAATCAAGGATGAAGCTTTGGAAACTTTCATTCAATATAAGAATGAAGTTGAAAATCAACTTGGTAAGAAAATCAAAAAAACTAAGAAGTGATAGAGGTATTGAATATGAATCACCTTTTGGTAAATTTTGTAAAGAACATGGAATAATTTATCAAACTACTGTTCCTTACTCACCTCAGCAAAATGGAATTGCTGAAAGAAAAAATAGGACTTTAAAAGAAATGATGAATGTCATGTTAATAAGTTATGGATTACCTTAGAACTTGTGGGGAGAAGCAATACTTTCTGCTTATTATATACTTAATAAGATACCCCGAAAGAAAGTGAATCAAACACCTTATGAATTGTGGCATGGAAGAATACCATCATACAAATACTTAAAAGTGTGGGAGTATTTGGCTAAAGTGGCTATTCCTAGTCCTAAAAAGACTAAGATAGGTCCTAAGACCATTGATTGCATTTTCATTGGTTATGCTAAGAATAACAGTGCATATCGGTTTTTGATTCATAAATCAGAACATACTGAAATGCATGTAAATATTATTATTGAGTCAAGGAATGCATCATTCTTTAAACATGTATTTCCAAATAAGACTGGATAGGAAACTAGTAACAATAAAAGATCTTATGATGCTATTACTAGTCAGGATTAAGAAAATGATCAAGAACAAGAGTTAGATCAAAATGAGGAAGAGGAACCTAGGCACAGTAAACGTGCTAGAACCTCAAAATATTTTGGTCTAGATTTCCTAACATTTTTGTTTGAAAATGAGCCTTTAACTTTTAAAGAGGCTATGTCCAGTCCTGAAACTCCTTTATGGAAAGAAACTGTCAACAATGAAGTTAAATCCATCTTGCAAAATCACACTTGGGAATTGGTGGATTTGCCACCAGGTTGTAAACCTCTTGGGTACAAGTGGATTTTCAAAAGAAAATTGAAAACGGAAGGATCAATTGACGAATACAAAGCAAAACTTGTGGTCAAAGGATTTAGACAAAAAGAAGGTCTTGATTACTTTGACTCATACTCACCGGTTACTAGAATAACATCCATTGGAATGCTAATTGCCATTGTATCTCTATACAATCTAGAAATTCATCAAATGGATGTGAAAATCGCTTTCTTAAATGGTGAGTTAAATGAATAAATTTACATGGAACAACCAGAAGGTTTTTCTGTTCCAGGAAAAGAAAAGAAAGTGTGTAAATTGGTTAAATCATTATATGATTTAAAACAAGCGCCAAAGCAATGGCATGAGAAATTTGACAAGGCAATGATGTCAAATGGATTTAAAATTAATGAGTGTGACAAATGTGTTTATATTAAAAACACTGACAAAGGTTATGTCATTGTATGTCTTTATGTAAATGATATGCTCATCATAGGTAGTAATAATGACATGATTAAAACTACTAAGAAAATGTTGAATAAACATTTTGACATGAAGGACATGGGCATTGCTGATGTAATTCTTGGTATGAAAATTACCAAAACATCAGAAGGATATGCTTTGTCACAATCTCATTACATTGAGAAAATACTTGACAAATTTAGCAAAGATGATGATCATCTTGCTAGAACACCTGTAGATGTTAATTTGTATCTTTCTAAGAATGTACAGGAAAGTATTTCTCAATTAAAGTATGCCCAAATTATTAGAAGCTTAATGTAGTTGATGAACTACACTCGCCCGGATATAGCTTATGCAGTAAGTAAATTAAGTAAATATATGAGTAATCCGGGAGTAGAACACTGAAAAGCAATTATAAGGGTTCTAAGATATATCCGATTTACTCGTAACATTGGGCTTAATTATACTAGGTATCCAGCAGTACTTGAAGGATACTGTGATGCAAATTGGATATCGGATACTAGAGACTCGAAGTCCACTAGTGGGTATGTCTTTACTCTTGGTGGGGCGGCTGTGTCTTGGAAATCTTCCATACAGACTTGCATTGCTAGGTTTACTATAGAATCAGAATTCATAGCTTTAGACAAAGCAGGGGAAGAGGCACAATGGCTTTGCCATTTCCTTGAAGATATTCCAATTTGGCCAAAACCGGTGCCTGCTATATGCATACATTGTGATAGTCAATCAGCAATAGGTAGAGCACAGAGTCATATGTATAACGGTAGTCACGACACATTCGTCGTCGACATA